GCAAAAGTTTTATATTAAAGATATGAATAAGTTACGATACTTTCTTAGAATTGAAGTGGCAACATCTAAGAGTGGTATCAATTTATCTTACCATAAGTATGTACTAGATCTACTTGCTGAAACAAGACTTACAGGTACAAAACCAATTTATATTTCTATGGAATCTAATAAAAAACTGACCACAGACATCCAAGAAGGTATAGAAGACTAATGGAGAAATTGAATTGCTTGACTATTACAAGACCAGATATCTCCTTTGTGGTTAATGTTGTAAGTCGGTTTATGAAATTTCCAAGAATACCTCATTGGGAAGCAATAATTAGTATCTTAAGATATTTGAAAAAAGCTCCTAGTCTGGGATTATTATATAGAGCTCATGGACATTTACAGATACTTGGTTATACTGATGAAGATTGGGTTGGCTCCCCATCACACAGAATATCTACTATAGGGTATTGTACATTTCTTGGAGGTAATTTGGTGACTTGAAAAAGTAAGAAATAGTGTTGTGACCTGATCTAGTGCTGAGGCGAACTATAGGGCTATGTCTCAAACTACTTGTGAAATGTTATGGCTAAAGAATTTATTGCATTAAGATTGGTATTTTAGTAACCTTTCTAATGTAATTATTTTGTGATAATCAAGTTGCAGTTCATATTGCCCCAAATCCAATCTTTCATGAACGAACAAAATTTATTGAAGTTGATTGTTACTTTGTTCGTAAAAAGCTTCAATTGAAAGAGGTTAAGACTTGTTTTGTATGGTCTGCATATCAGTTGGTAGATAATCTTCACCAAGTCACTCAGTAGAGATAGAATTAAAAATATTTGTTCCAAACTAGGATTATTTGATATCTTTAATCCAACTTGAAGGGGAGTGTTTGTGAGTGATGGGTAATAGAGTCATTGTTTTATTCTCATGTGTGTAAGTATTTAGTCATTTTCCCTATTCAATTATGTCTCTCCCTCTTCTCTTTCTCTTTTCTTTGGTTGTACTGTTTACAAGGTCATTAAAGCAAACCATAGCTTTTGTTATCCTTAGAGCCAAACATACTAACATTTACAACAAAAATATCTTAGTTAAATGATACTTTCCTCTGTCAATCTAGGTTAATTAATCTTAATTAATGCTTCAACAACAGTCAACGATATAATCATGTAAGAGACCTTACACAATACGTGGGAATGCAAAACGTATGTGTGGGGTAAGAGATCAAAAGAGAAAGAGAGGGAGAGAACCTGCTTCTTAAGCAGTTTCTTTTTCCTTGTGATATCCCCACCTATAGGAATAATTACCAAAAAAAAAAAAAAGAAACATGTATCACAAGTGTCCTAGACATCCTTCCACAGAAATAAAGATATAAACTAAGAGACAGGAAACTATAAAGTGTTGCACTACGCACAAATGCCACAAGATATATTGTACAAGTAATGAACCTAGGCATCATTTTTAATAAGAACAGATATACTCATATTTCCATATTGAAAGGGGGCAGATTCTAATCTTACCATAGCATTTGGCAAGAACATCCTTTCTAATAGCAGACAGAGCTTCACTAGCAATCACTTTAGAACCTATGCATGCCTACAGGTCCATGTTACACAAAAGTAAGTTATCATAAATGAGGAAAAATATGCACTTGTTTAACTTATAAAAGCTCATTCTGTTAGGAGCCGGAAGAGTACTAGTCTTTCAATCTGTTCATTTTGTACGATGCAGGACCCCATAAACGGTTGGGGTTTCGATGTATCAATGTGTGTGTGGGTTCTCATGTCCTGAGTGAAAAGATCTAAAATGTGTGGCTTCTTATGTCCTTAATGAAAGACCCATACCACTTGTGATACATAAAGTATGCTATTAATTGATATTGGCTAACGAAAATGGAATAGGGTAATGAGGTTTACATTCTTGACTTAAACATGTTCAAATGCAATATTTGGGCTAATTTGTATGTCAAGAGTTCTTCGTTTCTATATTAAGCATAAGTTCATTAGTGTAGGATAATATTGTAATTACGATAATATTGCTCAGTTATAAAGTGTAGGGCAACCTAGCCACTAATTATTCTCTTTCTCTCGTCCTCTTGCCAATCATTCTCCTTCTTCCTTACAAACTCTAATATAATCTTTACAACTTTAACTTGGTATCAAATCACTAATTTGGCCTTACATATTATTAGAAAACATCATAGATGATCTCAAATTTTTTCCCCCGTTCACCGCATCCCTGTCAAAGCTGATGTCAATATCAGCATGTCATCATCGTACGGACATCAAATCCACCTCAAACTCGAAATTCTCTATTGGTAATTGTGGTATTTTTGTTTATTTTGTTGAAGCCATTTGAATAAAATTTGCTATTTTTGAATGATTTTTGAAAAAATAGAGACAAATGGCTTGATTCTTTGTTTTCGAACAAATCCAGGGGTCTCTTCGCTTCAATTTGGAACAAAGGGGTGCGATTTTCACTAATGTGTGTTTGAGGATGATGCCCAATTGCTTTTGGGTGGGTTTTTACATCTTTCTGGGTTGTTAAATCTAGAAGAAAAAGAAGTTCAACCAAGCAGATGCTTCTTAGAGAAGAAGCGGATGTGGTTATTTTGTAGGAAACGAGCAACGAAATGATTGAGAGAAAATTGATGAGTGTGGGATTTCGATATTGGAATTGGGTTTGTTTGCTTTTTGTTGGTAGGTTGGGGTTATTGTAATTATTTCGGATGAGAAGGCCATTAAAGTGGAGGAATATGCGAAGGCTGAGTTTTCAATTTTGGTTAAGGTTTAAGTCTAAAGATGGGGTTAGGTAGCGGTTAACATTGTATAGTCCAAGTAGTCCTAAATTGAGAAGTAGGTTTTGGGAGGAACTAGCAGGTCTGTACAATCTTCGTAGCCCTTGTTAGTGTGTAGATGGAGATCTAAATGTCATTAGGAACCTTTTTGAAATATTGAATAGTACAAGTATGACTAGGAGTATGAGGGACTTTGATGCTTTCATTTGGCAAACCAGGCTTATAGATCATCCATTGTTAATGGAACTTTACGTGGTTAAATTGTAGAGAAACTCTAGTTTCTCTTAGATTTGGTAGATTTTTTCTCTCCATTCGGGGAGAATTCCTATACAGGAGTAAATCAAGAAATTCTTTCAACGGTAGCCTCAAATCATTACCCAATAGTGCTCAATTAATCTATAATTAGGTTGGCTCATTGTCTTTTTAGGTTTGAGAATATGTGGTTAGAAAACTATGCATTTATAGGACAATTTAGGAATGGTTGCGCAAAGAAAGCTTTGAGTGATCCGAAGGTTTTAAGTTCATGTAAAAATTGGACAATGTGAAATAGAGAGTGCAAACATGGAATATGGAAGTTTTGTCGATATTGGAATTCCAAAAAGGCTACTCATGAATATAATTCAAGAGATTAATAAGATTGAAGAGAAAGTGGTGAATTTGTAAAAAATTTGAGGAGAGAGAGGTGTGCTTAAGGAAGAACTAAGTTAGACGCAAAAAGGCTAGAGTGAAGTTGTTAAATGAGAGAATAATTCAAAACTTTTTCATTGAGTCTTGAACAATGAAACAAGAAGAAATGTATTGATAAGCTAGACCAAGAAATGGAGTGCTGATGGAGGATAAGGGGAGGATTAAGAGCAAGACTGTTGGATTCTTTCCCTAGTTAAATTCATCTCAAGGGTGTGTTAGACCAAGGCTCAAACGTATGGAGTGGACTCCTATAGATGAAGGTAAATTTAAGTGGTTGGAAATGCCTTTGAAGAAGTGAGAAATGATATTTTTGTGTTTAGTAGAGATATGGCTCAAGACCGAATGGATTCACTTTGGTTATTCAACAAGATTTTTGGGATATTCTCAAAGTGGATTTAATGAAAGCTTCCACTGAATTGTAATTAAAACCTCTATTTTTATTTGTTGGATCCCCAAAGAGAGACAAGTTCATGAAGAATTTTAGACAGCTAAGTTTGGTGTCTAGCCTCTATAACATTATAGCAAAAATTTTATCTTTGAGACTAAGGAAGATTCTTAGCGAGACAATTTTTGAATGTCAAGGAGCTTTTGTTAAAGATAGGCAAATCTTTGATGTTGCGTTTGTGGCTAATAAGGTTTGTGGGATCATCAAACTAGAGGTAACGAGGGTTTAGTTTTTAAAATTGATTTTCAACGGACTTGTGATTATATAGATCAGAACTTTTTTTGGATTATGTTTTGGAGGTAGATGGAGAAATTCCACATTGAGATGTTTACATTCTATGAACTTGCCCACTATACTTAATCAGATGCCTAGGGGTAGATTCAAAACATCTAGAGGATTGAGACAGAATGATTCGTTGTCTTCTTTTCTTTTTACCTTAGTTGCTCTAATAGATTGAGCATGTTAGTGAGGAGGGCAGAGAGGTGTTATTTTATGGAAGGATTTATTATGGGAAGGGATAGTACAATGCAATACATCAACAAGTTCACATATAAGTTCACATTATGGAAGGGATATATAATTTTTAATTTTTACTCTCTCCTTTCAAGTTCACATATAATGCAATACATCAACAAAAATCTACTTGACTTTGAAGCCATGAGTGATTTTTAAATATTATCATCTATTACATATTAAAATAACAAGTTAATTACACTATAATCTTGGAAACAAATACTTCTAAATAAGTCAACTAGTCAAATGTTAGTTCTAATTCCTTTAATTGGTCCAGTTCACTTTGTATATATGCCATAATGAGACGATATTATGTCTTTCTAAAGATAAAAATTATTAATTTTGCTCACTGATGTTGAAGAATTACTAAAACTTATAATTATCAAGTAGTTGGATAATAGTAAAATATAAAACATATTTTATTAAAGACATATCTAGACCGCATTCATATCTTTTTTTAGGTTTTGATTTATTGTTGTATCCGTATTGTACCCATATCTCGTACCTGTATCCATGTTTCCTAGTTGCCAACTAAAAGAATTCTAGAAACAATAAACCTGTGATGTCAATTTAAAGAGGAGCGTCAAGTCCTCTAACAAATAGAGATACAAATCTTACTTGGATAGGTACTCTAAACATTTGACGTGGGATAAGTTCCTTAAGCTTTTGAGTCAAAGCCCTTCCCACAGCATATGCCTGAAAATTGAAGAACATATTAATCCTATTATAATTTTACTAAGCAATGGAGATTATCCCACAGTCCGCATCAGTATAATAATCTCTCTTAAACTAGCATGGTTACGATTCTTGTGGCTCCCCCCCCAACAATTACCAAGTTTGAGGTTAGTGGTTCAACAACAAGTGTATATAGGAATGAAGAAACCAAAGGCATTAAGTTCAAGAAAGTGTAGATAGCATGCCTAAAATAGTACTTATTGAGACCAAAACTGCACAAAAAACTGGTACAAAACAATGACAACTGTTCAAATAGAAAAATGACTAAATTGAACATTTTCCAAACAAAAAGTTTCCGCAAAAAAAAAGAAAAAAAGGCATCTTAATTATAGTTTGTATTTATCTGTCCACTTCGAAAACAACACAAAGGCACTGGCATTTTATACTCAATACCACCGAAATGATTTAAAAGCTCATAAACCTAAAGACATAAGTTTGAACTTATAATTTGACAAGGAGGAAACAAGAGTGTACTTTTTCCATGCTCGTCTCTGTGACCACATGTATTCAGTAACATGTATAGTAGTAAAATAAACAACGAGCATATCTCTAGGTTAACAGAGTATATATACCCCCAAATTTAGACTATACAGTCATGGTAAATACCACCACATGTTTGACGAAAGCTGACTTTTGTTCATCATCTACATCTTCACATCAACTCCCCAAAAATATCAATCACATATTGAGGTACTTGCATAAAACCTGATGCCATTGCTATGAAATGTCAATTCCTTTGTTCAAAACAAAATTTTAGAATAGCCAATCAATAAATAACAGTGGCAAGATCTTGTTCTAGAAAACATCCCAAAAGCAGGCCTTCTGAAAATAATTAGACACGCATATCTGGCTCTAGAGATACATTAAGAGTAAATACCTAGAAACTCATCTTAATCCCTTTGCACGAACACAACCTTTCCCCCAAGGTAGAAAACCCAAACCAAATGGAAAACAAATAAGGAAAAGGAAAATGAATTTAAGAAGAAACAGTGATGTTCCCGTTAATATGGGGCATAAGCCATATAACAATAAGTAGATTGGTTCACTGCAGCAACGAATGGCATCTTTACAAGAATCGCCCCAGTTTCATAATCTCCTCGTACATCCTCATGACGTCAATATTTGATTTGTATACTGACATATACTGGGAATGACATGAAAGAAACATCATACAATTTTGACATTCAAAAAATATCAAATTTTCTGCAACAAGATTTTATCAAAGACAAGTTGCACTTAATGAAATAATAGTCTGTTTAATGGCATTCATGAACAGACACAGATATATAATAAAGTTCAATATGGGCTTCATAAATCAACCACCGACTTTCATTTGATTAAAATAGTTTACCAAACATCAATTTTTTTTCCCTTTCCCAGAATTGAAACGCTAAAGTTAAGTGAACAAGACTTAAATTACTTTATCTTTGTGTACAATAGTTGCCAAAGGTTCCACCGGATCACCATTTATCTGAATGTCAAGCTTTATCAGATCACTTTCCTTGTATCTGGCAAAAACAATGGGAATGAACAATGAATTAACATAAATATAGCATCTTCTAGAGACCTATAATGAATCTTCAGGACACATGAAGCTACAGACTACTCACACGTCATGTAAAAGCCGAAATATGATTACAAGACTTTTTTACAATAGGAATTAGTTATATAAGTTATTTTTTCCACAGAAAAAGTCCAAGCAGCAGACACAAGTATGCTGAAACTCAACACAACCAAGGAATCATTCTTGTACAGAAAAGGGTACAAGCTTGAAGCCATCAATATCACAAGAATCATTAACCAATGGATTGACTTGGTTCCATCTGTGATAATATACAAGATCCACTGAGATAAAATGAAGGCATAGTGCATTGTGAATGCTAGTAATAGTCCTATAATTAGTGCACAAAAGGGCCTCCCAATAGCAAGTGAACCACAAATCGGTGCCTTTTTTCACTTTTCTCTAACAATTATATAAGCTCATTTTCAGAGAACTGTACCATGAAATTCAACAACCAAATGTGAATTTGATTTCAAATTGATAATAACCACTGATGTACACTCAAAATTACCAAAAGCCTTTGTAAAAATCAAGATATCACCTGCTCAACTCAAGGAAACACAATTGCTCCTTCATTTAAAAAAAGAAAGGCAAGATAGGAAAAAAGCAGTTATTGCCTTCCAATTACGAATAGAATATGAACATGTTTATGGATTTTACAGATGAATCAGATCAACCGTAGCACTATTGTAAGTTTTCTTGTTGAATCAAGGATATGGTGGATTTCTGGGTTACAGTGACAAGCTTCTATATGCACCTATTAGATAGATTTACCCGACAAAAGAGTACTCCATGCTAGCATAACCCTTACTTCTGGACTTCAGCTGATCAAAGAAATCTCCTACCATCTGAAAAATGAATTTACAATCCCTGTTATCTAAATAAAAGGAAACAGCGTGATCACAAAAACTTAGCACCAGAACCATCTTTTAAGTCGAATATTTCAAGATTGGTAAATACAAATGGACGATGCTATTGCATGGGGTACCTCTGCCAGTGGTAATCCATAGGAGATGGAAGCTCTATTTTCTGTAATAAATTTCATTTCTTTAAATTCTCCTCGCCGGTCTTGAGCAAGCTCCATAAGTGGACCAATATAGTCTTTTGGAGTGAGCATTTCAATCTGTATCATGTAAATCAAATGTTACATTTACAGGAAAAATTGTGTCCCATCGCGGCAAATATAAAAGGGAAATCATCTCAAGGAAAAAGAAGCAACCTTGACAAAAGGCTCCTCAATTGATTTCCTTTTACCAGGTTCAGGAAGTAAAGATGGATTTGAACACTCAATCTAGATTAGCAAAAATAAGATTGCATATTACATAAGGCAAGGAGATTAATATGATCAATCAAAATTAAAATTGGAAGCAGCGAAAGTTTCTGATTTGCCAGGAAATGGCAAAAAAACATTGCAAAAATTAGTTGAAAAGGTAATAAGGACAGTATGCTTTGGTTTAGCTCTCAGACAAGTATGCATTGATTGGATGAAATGTAACAAAAAATGCATTGGGCTTAGGATAAGAAATTACAGTATCACCATTTACACAGTTCACTCGGTAAACAACACTTGGGGCAGTAGTTATTAGTGTCAAATTGTATTCCCGCTCAAGCCTTTCCTGGTAGATAAAAATTAAACAGAGGCAGCACCACAGAGTATCATGGTTGCTGGTAATCCAAAAATGAAACACAGCAACAATACTACAGATACTACGAAGATATTACACAGACCTGAACAATTTCCATATGGAGAAGACCCAGAAACCCACATCTAAAACCAAAACCCATGGCACTTGAGGTCTCAGGTTCAAACTGCAATATAAACATCATTAAAGAAGAACAATCTTCTCATACATAATGTATAAATCAGCAAGTACAACATTAGAACTCAACATTATTGCAAGGAAATCCAATACAACCAATTTCAGGTGATTTAGCAGCAAGGCAATAAATGCATGAGTATAGGGACAAAGCTTTCAAATGATTTGTGAGAGGGTGAGGTGGGGTTACAGCTTTCAAATTTATTTGGAGAGATTTAGTGATGGACTCTTTGCAAGCATAAGACAAAAAATCCATATATTTAGAGACAAGACCGACAACAAATTACCTTTGCCAACGAAGAGAAAAATTTGGCATCAAATTTGTGAAGTTTTTTTTTTTGGAAAGTATATTTGAAAGAGACAAATTGGAGCGACAAAGAGTTGAAGCTCAAGGGATCATGGCACAAAGCCACTTACAATCCCCTATCACATATTAAAGTCATCCCCCAAGGATTCTACCCGCTTTCATGTGAAATATTTGGCTAGAACTTCAAAAAACCAAAACACTTTAGCAAAAAATGCCAAACATTTTAGTGACGGGCACCATACCTTAAACTTGCAGAATATCATAAAAATACTTGAAGTTCTCGCCCTGTTATAATCTTACTAGCAACAGTATCTGGGTCTAAACAAGATTTTTCTATCAACACCTATTACACCCACACCAAACTGAAAACTGAAAAGGTGAAAAATGCACCCACCTGGAAATTTTCTTTGCTTGGGTTAAAATCTTTCTCACTAGCTAAACGAAATCAAAATTCCAAAAATGAAGAAGCAACAAATCAGTGGTATTCAAATCTGTCCTCTACCCTTTTTTCTTCTTTACTTTTGTAGACTGGTATTTTAGTGAAGTGAGTAAGAATTCAGAAGTTATATGCATTCAGCAATAAACCCTGAAACTATCATTACATAGCTTATGCTTAGAAGTTAGTATTGATATTGCGGGGCTGCTCACACATCCAAAAAAAAACAATTGGACCACTGGCATCTGAAATTCAGATTATCATAGCCATTGTCCACAATTAGAAGTGTTCAAGCTAAATGACGTAACCATAGTGAAAGGTAGAGCTACGGAAAGGTGAACACCATAAATGACATATAGTGACAGTTATGAAAGACTGGTAACTTGTGATTTAACAACGTATCTAGCTTCGACATTTCAGCATAGTAATAAAATATACGTAGCCAATCCCAAATAGTTATGTCTAGATTCTGAGTTGATTTGCTAGTTATTAGTCCCTCAGCCAAATATCCACAAAAGTTAATCATGATGCATGCTTCACATGACATATTGCATCATCACAGTGAGTGTTCCATCGTCAGCAATAGTAGACAGAAACAAAAGAACGACAAATTTGTTGAGTTGTGACAGATTTCAAATCTTTTTCCAGGCCATTTATATAACTGCAAGATTGATCTAACCAAAAAAACTACATAATCATGATCTCAAATAACATCAGGAAGTTCTAAACACCATATGTTCAATATTTAAATAGCACCCTCTCTAATAGCTTAAGCTTTTAGAGCTGATAATGGTTTAACATGGTATTATGGTATTAGAGAAGAAGGTCTTGTGTTGAATCTCGCCATCATGCTAATTATTAAAAGATTTCTTCTTGTATTTAAATCTCGCCACCACACTAATTATTAAAAGATTTCTAGATGCTTGACCGCTGATGGTGTTGAAATATAAATACTTAAGTTATACCAAATCTAATAGATTAAGCTGAGAGGAGATGGTGGTTTAACACCCTAGTTAACATAATGAGTCTTGAGTAATAATCAACCCATAATGGAAACGAGTGATTCAACAAGAATAATCTTACTGACATCACATAAATAATACACCTATCTGGTCAAAACAACGATAATCTTGTGGATGGAAAAATATAAGAATAGAACTAAAAAAGGCCAAAAAGGGGTCATGCAATCATGGTTCAGCATCTTCCTACTTGTTCAATAAACAATACCTTTAATGAAGTGATTGAAGCCACCTGTAAAGGAAAAATAAATGTAATGCAACATACAAAATTATGATACGAAAAGTATATCAAATCCCATAGAAGTTTTTTAAAGCATAATGGTCATGTGATAAAGACATGGACATCAGTGTGAGCATCCAACACAACCGTATTCTCCAACACAGTTACCTTCAATGCAGCATCGTTAAGTTGCAGCTTCTCCAATGCATCACGCAACTCTGGGAACCTACAAAATTCATGGATAACCTATGAAGTAATTAAGTCTGAAGGTGGAATTATGATAAATATAGAATAAGAGCTAGAATAATACTGGTCGGAATCAACAGGGAACAAGCCACAGAAGACCATTGGAGTGGCCTCCTTATATCCAGGCAGAGATTGTTCTGCTCTCCTGCTGTAATGTGTTATAGTGTCACCCACCCTAGCATCTGCCACTGATCTTATGGAAGCTGAAAGATAACCGACCTGAAATGTAGAAGTAAAATTCATATAAAACCAATCGACAAGTCAGCATTTCTGGCAAAAAAAAAAAAAAAACCTACAAAGGACACATGGTTTACAGGTGCTTGTGTGCATTCATAGGTTGCATTGGAACGGTTATCAATTACAAAATACCAAAATAAGAAAAAAGAAAATTGAAGAAATTCATATACAATCAATCAGCACTATTACATATTTATTGGTGAGTGTGGCATATATGTCATTTCAAAAACACCACTTTTACAATGAAACCTAACTAGCCTGATTAATTCAACACAGGGAAAAACGAAAAAAAAAAAAAATACAACCAAACATTAGATTAGATATTTCTTGTGTGATTTAGTAAAATATAAACCACTTTGGGGTGCAACCAGGGAACACTATCAACTAATTTGAAAAGTTCTTCCATTTAGTAATGGAAGTCATCCGTTGTCACTTTCTAAGGGTATGGTAGAGGCGCTTGATAAGGTACATCCCCTGTGAAATTCAAATGTAAAAGAGACTTGGCTCACTAATCACCCAAGGCATAACTCTGATACCACGTAAGAGCATTCAAACCAGAACTAATTGGCGATGAGAGGAGTAGGCCCTCAAGGATACAAATCAACCTTAGGGAGTCCTAATCATTCAATGTGCGATACAAGCTTCCTATCAAGGTGCACCAGCCTAAAACAAATATTTTGTCATCCACTGAACCTATCCAATCTACATCAGTGAATGATTCTAGTTTCAAGTGACCATTATTGGAGAACAAGATCCCTTTCCTTGGAGCTAACTTGAAATTTTTTAAAACACGATAAACAACTTCAAGAAGAGGAGTTCGAAAAAAGCAACTACGGATTCCAGAAATTGCAAAGCTGATCTAAAAATTATAAAAAAAAAAAAAAAGGACCGAAAATCTTCAAAAAATCAAAAACACCTTCAAATGACTCCAAACAATTCCAAAAAAATCAACATAAAATCCAGCTCTTCAAGTCAATCATCCCACAAAAAAATTAGAAACTTGGGGTACTATACATCACTGACGTCAACGTCTAATGTTAACACTTCAGAAGATGATGTCAGCCAATCAAAAAATGACCTCAACCACTCCGTGCAGATCCAATAATTTTTGACTATTTCTAACAACTTTGAGGATTCAAATTTGGATCGTAGCTTTGATACCAAATTAAATTGTAACGTAATTTGGGTTAAGAAACAGAAGAAAAGATTAGGAAAAAAATAAAAGAGATTGAGAAAAGAAAATAGTGTGTTTTATTACACAACTATATCCAGCTTTTATATATAATCACAAAGTACGAAACTACCCTTAGTCTAGAAATGACACGCAACATAACAAGAGATAAAAATGCCTTTATTTGATATGGCAACCTCAATCCCAAGAAAATATCTTCATGGACTCATGTCTTTGACTTTAAACTCCCCAACCAATTGAGTTTTCAGTTTCATGATTTCATGCACATCATTCCCACCTACAATGAAAAGTATTTTCTTATCATCTATATGTCCAATGAACATAGTATAATCAACTTGACTTTGTTTATATCCAAATTTTAACATGAGTACCAAGATCGAGGTGATTACTTCGACCCATTAAGTAACTTCTTCAACTTAAACACCTTCCCTTCAGTTACCTGACATGAAAAACTAGGTGGAATCTTCATATATACCTCTTTTTTCAAATCTCCATGGAGAAATACATTCTTCACATCTAATTGTCGCAGACTCCACCCCAAATTAGCTGCACTAGAGAAAGGATTGTGTGTGGAGTTCATCTTTGCCATTGGGGCAAAAGTCTCCTAATAATTAACGTCATACATCTGAATGAATCCCTTACCAACCAGTTTTGTCCTGTATCTCCCAAGTGTCCCATCAACTAGTTGTTTGATAGTGAATACCCATTTGCACCCCACTATACTTGCTCCAATAGGAAGTGAAACAAATTCGCATATCTCATTCTTTTTCAGGACTCCCATTTTCTCTACCATAGTTTCTCTCTACTTTGGATTAGTGAGAGCTTCCTTCCAACATTGAGGAATAGATATATAAGACGCGCAGGTAAAAAAGGTACAATTAGATGTACATAAGGAATCATAAGAGAAAAAGTTAGAGATAAGGTGTTTAGTACAAGTTTGAACAACCTTTCTAACTGCAATAGTAAGCTTAGATAGAATAATCAATAGTTGGATTATGATTATCAATAACAAGATTGACAACTGGAAACTCATTACTGGTTAAATCAGCAGGAGATGGTAAAACTAGAATATGAGAATTCAACTGACTAGGCGACACATGGATGGTTTTTACCTTCTAGCATTGAAAATAAGTCTTTTAGAGTACCAGGCAGATTATTGGTACCAACAATCTGTTGCTCCCCCTTATTAGTATCCTATTGGAAAGGCAATTGAATAAGAGGCTCCTGATATACCATCTCTACCTCAGTAGTGGTGTTCTCCCCAGAAGCAATGGTTGGGGAGGAGAAAAAAAGGATTCAAACTCAAACGAAAGGTAACATCCTTGCTAACATATATTTTCTAAGACTGTGGATGGTAGAACTTATAACGTTTTTGGATGGGACAATAAAGATAAAAAATAAGAGACTAAATAAAACACTCCCTCTAAAGAAGAATCACACAAGTCCAACTTGCCAAGGATTGAATGGAGCACTTTACTAGATACTCCCTTTGTAAAGATATTTACAAGTCAATCCCTTTTCCTTGATCATATGTTTGTCGACCTCAACATGCTTGGTTCTATCATGTTGAACAAGATTGTGAGCAATACTACTTATTGTCTTATTGTCACAATATAATCTCATTGGTTCCTTCGAATAAAAATTAGTTTCTTCTAATATGGATTTCAGCCACAACAATTCACAAATTCCATGAGCCATAACTCGGGATTCTGACCTATGCACTAGATCTAGCCATAACCGACTGTTTTTGCTAGGCTATGATACCAACTTTCATCCAACAAAGGTACAATATCCATATGTTGATCTTCTACCGGTAATTGATCCAACCCAATCAACATCCGAATTGGCTTCCACCTATACATGTTCTTAGAAAAAAATAACTCTTTACCAACTGTTGGTTTAAGGTACCTCAAAATTCGATGAACTGCCTCCATATGAGACTCACGAAAGGAGTGCATAAACTGATTTACCACCCTAACTTCATAGGCTATATTTGGACGAGTATAAGACAGATAAATGAGTTTACCCACCAATCTCGATATTAACGTTTATCTACATGAGTATCATCAACACTCTCTCTATACATATGATTATACTCAATCAGAGTATCAATAGGCTTGAACCCTAGCATAGTTGTCTCCTTAAGTAGATTAAGCACATGCTTTCGACGTGAAATGAATATGCTCCATCTGCATCTCGTAACATCAATACCTAAGAAATACTTCAAGTTTTTCAAATTTTTATCTCAAATTATTGAACCAAATATGTCTTAACTTCACCATCTCCTCTACAACATCGCTAGTATGCACGATATCATTTTTTATACGATGAGTGCAGTCACTTTTTGATGCGAAGAATGTTTAACAAGCAAAATATGATCACTATTAGAATTATAGTCTAGTTTATTAGTTTTTCTCTTTTTTCTTTTTTGTCCTTACTATGACTTTTATGTCTTATCCATACCAGAGGGGTATTCTGGTTATTTGTACCTCTTATTCGACTATATATGCAAGATTCTACAATCAGTTTGTGTATCATTTTACTCTCAAATAATTCTGATACCAAACCCTAGCCTTCCCTAATCCTACCCGCCGCCCCTAACCCTACCCACCGCCACTTGACACACCTTTAGCCCCCAAATCTTTGTTTCCCAACTATCGCTGCCCAACCACTGCCACAGGGAGCCAGCGTCCACTCATAGGCCAACGAGCACCAGCGCCCAGGCACCAACGTTATTGCCTCCAAACCAGCGCCAACGCCTCCAACCTTTGTGCTTCGCAGCCCTCGCCGCAGTGCCGCCAGTCTGCCTCCTCTTCGCACTATTGGTTTCTTTTTTCCCTAGGGTTGAAACATCTAAGGACTTTTAAGAGGGGTCGGATCCCCTCCTTCATTGCTCTATTTTTGATGCAGTATATCACTTATATATATTTTTACTGGATTTCTTAGCGTCATGACCTGTTATTTGGGAGTTTTTTGCACCTTCTTTATTTGTCGTTGTTGTTCAACTAAAGTTATATTATTCTCCCTTGTTTTCTCTTTATTTATCTTAGAGTATTTTCTGTCATGGTTGCCAAAGTATTGTTGTTATGGCCACTAATGAGGGACTTAAGACCCTTGCCATTAGTACTTTCACTTGGAATGTACCACCCACTTTTGTAGAGACTACCTCTCCCATTTTTATTTTTGAACAGTATACAGTACCTACTGGTACAATTGCATTACTGGCAATGTTGGGTATGATCTCTAAGAAGATGACAGCACAATTATTAAATGACTGTAACTTTACTAAGTGGTCACGCTCATTCCAACTTTTCTTAGGGAGTGTTAGGAAACTTGGTTGGCTAACAGAATCGCACCCAAAGCTAGCTGATGATGATCCTGGATATACTGCGAAATTTTATGAGAATTACGTGATTCTTGGATGGTTACTTGGGCTCAATGGGGTCATCTGTTTTAGTATTCATCAGTTTAATAACTCTGTTCCAAAGCTATGGAGCGCATTATTAGAGATGTATTTGCAGTTAGGTCGTAGAGTTTGTGTTTATGAGCTTTCTCAGGAGCTCTCATATGCTCGACAAGAAAATATGACAGTGCAAGATTACTATGGCTATTTGACTCAGCGTTGGCTTAAATATGAGACTCTACATCTTTTAGCTACTATTCCGAGGATAGAGCCCGACGAAACAGCATTTCTACATAACAAGAGAATAGGATTCACAAATTTTTTATTAAGTCTTCGTGATGAGTTTGAGGGACCTCGTTCCCAGGTTTTATCAATATTGAGACTTTCATCTTTTTATAAGGTGTATGCTAT